AGCAACTTTCTGATTTGTGCTTGACATACCTTTGTCTTGAATCCTGGACGAGCAAGGCTGAACAGCTTTCCATCTGGACAGATATGCTAGGCAGAAGAAAAGGCTGAACAGGTTTCCTTTCGCTGGCTTAGATATATCTTTGGTACCTCTCGACAGGACGAGATCAGAATAACGTAAATAGGAGCAGAAGTAAGCCATTTCGCTTTTAGAGCCCTCTCTGCCAGTCAATAAAATCATAGCTGATTTATTTGTGACCTTAATTCCACCTTTTCCGCCTCACAGATTTAAAATTTTGAACTCAACATTGAATGTATTCAATGACTCAGCCTCCACTGCTCTCTGTGGAAGACAACATTTTAAGTCAAATTCCTGGATCATGCTAATGCCACCTGGATCCATTCATTGCTAACCCGACAACATCTGTGCTGTATTTGCTACAATCATTGAAAACATGATAGCTGAATACTCAAGGACTTGGTGCACCATGACCTGGCCACTGGGTCATGACTATCTGAACATCTATACCACTGCCTTAGGGACTATCAATACATGAAGGAGGAGTATGTTAATGCAGACAACTAGGAAAAGGTTGTAAATGGAGCTTGACTGTATGGAAGGGTAGTGGAAGTGGGTCTTGAAGGGAATACAAAAGAAATTCTGCTTTCTGTAAAGAGAACCCAGAAAAAATAGAAAACATTGAATCATGAATCTTCTCATCCCACTGATTTCCTCTGCAGCAAATGAAGCAGAGACTATCATGCTAGATAGGGCTCCCAAGTAACAGTAGCAATGCTAAAGAGAGGATCGCCATGACCAAACCATTGTTTTATCCGACTGTAGGGTGCCACTATAATGAATCTTGGTTTATTGTTTTGACTTGGTTTCTAAACTGTTCCACTTTGCACAAGATTCCCATGGTTTGTACCATGGCATTAGTCATGCGGCTTGATATCCATTGCATTTAATATTGAAATATATGTTTCTCTAGTTATCTGAGATCAGACTTGGAAATATTTGGTAGAATATTTGACTTTTGCCTGTAACTCTGAATAATGTGATGTTCCAAATGTATAACTTGTTAGACATATTATGTGCAAGTATATAGGTTGGAACTATGAGTTAGATTGATAACAGGAAGCAGATGTGCTGGCTAAAATCTGATTCAAATCAAATAATTGGGATGTACGTATCTATTTATTTATAGTGAACGTCATCTCCAATCTTCTTTCTGTGCAGCTTTTGAACATGTTGTGTCCTCATAAATCTATCCCCTTCCCTGAATGTCTTGCTTGAATTCCTCTATTCACATGTCCACTCTTGCAGCAGTATTGAACCTGCTCTTGTCATATTTACAAATGGCATACAGTGATCTCTGGCCATTATCTCGTATAATTTCTCTACTTGTTTACCAGCTTTCAATGTTGACTCATAACTCTTCTCCAGTCTTTTCTCCTGTTGACGAGTTGCATGGAATTATGCTTGCCTTGATCCATTCCTGTTTACTTGTGGATAGATAATCATCTGCAATTGGTTCTCTTCCCACACCTGCACCATTACATTTGGTGTCCCATGTGGAAGGATTACCTCCAATTCTCATCTACACTATCCCTTGGCAACATTATCCAAAAGCATAGCATCAACTTCTACATTAGATAACACTGTTGTGATCACAGCTGATACTAGAAAAGTCAGGTTCCAGAGTGGAACCCGATTTAAAGACCGCAAGTTTTATTTTTGCAATCTGATTATGGTGATGGTTAATCAGTGAACATATTTACATGAGACTTGGGAAGGGACACTGAGAAGTGTTATCAGACCAGGCCTCAATGTGGAACACCAAAAGAGGTGCTTTGTGCTGAGAGTTCCTGAAGATTGAGGGAACCAAGATCCTTGATCCACAGCTCTCATCAGGAAACCTGATTTTCCATGGCTCATGTTTAAAATGTTGGAACAGTGAGGCTTATGATTTATGATCAAATTTAAGGTGCTAACATATTGAAAAGGGTTGGTCATCCACCCACCTGCACATCTTAGTTAAAGCTGGGAGGCAATAGGTTTGAGGCTGGTTTGGAGCAGGATTCTGATTTTCGGGACTCTAACCAACCATGGTCAGTGACTCTCACCTTGAGTTCAGCTCTTTTATCTGTGTTGAGATGAAGTCAGGAGGTTTAGCATTTGACTGAGTATTGTAGCAAAACTGAAGCCAATGGATATAAGAGAGAAAGCTTTTCCATGGCTGGAGGCATATTTAGTGCAATTGAAGGTTGTTGGGTTGTTAATCAATCATATCCTCAGGAGACAGTAAGGACTGCAGATGCTGGAAGTTAGAGTCTATGACTGTGGAGCTGGAAAAGCACAGCAGATCAGACTGCATCCAAGGAGCAGGAAAGTCAATGTCTCAGGCCGAAACATTGACTTTCCTGCTCCTCGGATACTGTCATTCCCAGGAATTCCTCAGGATTTTGTCCTTGGCCCAATCGCCTTCAGCTATTCTTTGATGACTTTCCTACCATAAGATCAGAAGTGAAGATGTTCGTTGATGATTGCACAATGTTCAGTACCATTTGCAGTTCTTCAGATACTGCAACAATAGGTCCATATGCAGCATTTCCTGAATGACATTTGAATTTGGGCTGATACCTGGTAAGTTACGTTCATGCAACAATAGCAACAGGCATTGACCATCTCCAGCAAGTGAGAATTCAACCATCACCCCTTGAAGTTTAATGATACATTTATTACTGAATCATTGACTATTAACATCCTAATGGTTACCATAACCAGAAACTGAACTGGATCAGCCACATAAATACAGTGGCTACAAGAGAGAATCAGAGCTAGGAGTTCTGTGGGGCATTACTCGCCACCCATCTCCAAAGCTTGTCCAGCAGTTACAAAGTGTAACTCAGGAGTGTAATAGAATAATCTCCACTTGCCTGGATGAGTGCAGCTTCAAAAACACTCGAAATTTGGCATCATCCAAAACAAAGCAGTTGCCTTGATTGGCACTTCACACACTACCTAAGACATTAATGCGCTCCACTAACCTATGCTGTGGTGGCAGCAGTATGTACCATAATGTGCTGCCAAGCCTCCTTTGCCAGCATCTTCTAAAAGGATGATTGCCAACAGCCTAGAAGGATAAGGGAAGCAGATTTCTGAGCACCATAATTTGTATGTTCCTCTCCAATCCCCATGTCATCCTGGAATTATATTGCTGTTCGTTGTATTTCTCTTGTAACTGGACCAAAATCACAGAGCTCCCTAACAGCACTGTGATGGACTCCATCAATTCAAAAAGGGGGCTCACCAATACCTTTTAAAGGGCAAAAACAGAAGTTGCTGGAAAAGCTCAGCAGGTCTGGCAGCCTCTGTGAAAACAAAATCAGAGTTAACATTTCGGGTCCTGTGACCCTTCCTCAGAACACTGGCTCTTTGGTCCCTTTTCAAGGGCAGTTGGTGATAGACAACACACTGCCACTGCCAGCAATGCTCATGTCCCATGAAAGAATTAAAAAAAAAGTGTCAAACTTTGGCTAAACTGCACTTATGAGTACCTTATGCAATTCTGGTTGTGGTATATATTAAAAAAAGAGGCACTGGAGTAGGCGCAGAGAAGATTTACAAGTATAATGACAAATGCGTGGGTATACATACCAGGAAAAGATTGGCAGGTTGTGTCTCTTTGATGCTTGAAAAAAAAGGCTGAGGAGTCACCTAATATCACAAATAAGGCATAACAAATCATGAAAGGTTTGATAGAGTGCATATAGAAAAAATGATTCCTGTTGTGGGGAGAGAGCATAACTATAAGCCAGTAATATGGGAGTCACCAAAAAAAATTGAATATAACATTCAGAAGAAACTTCTTTACCTAGTGAGTGGCAAAATGTGGAGCATGCTAGCATAGAGAGTTTTTTTAAGCAAACATTGCAGATGTATTTCATGGAAATCAGACAATCTTCTGAAGGAGGAGCAAATAGATGGTTCCAATAGTAGATTTAAGTAAGAAAAAGCTAGGAAAGGACTTGTGGAAGTTAAACACTGGCATGGATTGTTTTGGGCTTATTTTGTTACTATGTTACCTGATCTCTATGTACTTTCTACCCATGTGCAAAAATAGGTGGCATGGGGGAAATGAATACAGTTGATATGTTGATTGATACATCATTGAAATATCACATGTGAAGCTTTCAGTAACTGAAAAGGACTCTTTTTTTTACAGACTAAATTGCAAATACAAACAAAATACATAGAAAAATCAATTTTAATTTGGAACTGTGATAAATTTTGTTCCTGTAAATGGATTATTTGGAGTTCTCCTGATATGTCATGGTGTGGAAAGTGTCAAAATTGAATTGCAATGACTTTATTTATTAAAAAAAACCAAATTGTATCAAATTTTAGATATCATGCCAAACGGCATCAATTGTCTAGCCATGTAGCTGGCAAACTAACTCCTGGCAACTCTGTCCTCTACAAGCTTTCATTGTTCCTGTGATATCTCTCACTCTGTCTCTATAAAATCTTGCTATATCTGTCTAAATTTTGGCATAATCTGCTTCTCCCTTCATTGCATTGAAGCGCAAGCAGAATGTTTGTGTAGAACTATGGTTTGACTGTACCCCGCTAAGAGAAATTTATTAGACAGTTTGAATTATATTAGAATTTTTTTCTTATGTGTTCTTGCTGAGCAAGGAGTGATGTCTGTTCAAACACTTCTGGTATGAACTTGGATATTATTATCTTTATACAGGAGGAAATATTGATATTTTAAGAAAATATGGCTAAAATTTCACTTGTGCACAAAACATTGCGCATTTTAATAGAAATGAAAGCATCAGGTGCATTCCTTACTTAATGACAGGACCATTTTAAAGTATGTTGTTTCATTCATACTTAAGTCCTGTGTCTGAAAATTTACATTAATAATACTTCTGGTAAACTGAAAACTCAAAATTACTGTCAGGCTATAACAAACATGTCCTTTATTTGTATAGGTTTTGGAAGACAACGACTATGGCCGTGCTGTTGACTGGTGGGGTCTAGGTGTTGTTATGTATGAGATGATGTGTGGCCGGCTACCTTTTTACAATCAGGACCATGAGAAGCTTTTTGAATTGATTCTGATGGAGGACATTAAATTTCCGAGAACTCTTTCATCTGATGCAAAATCATTACTCTCTGGATTGCTTATAAAAGATCCGAATAAAAGGTAATTAATCATATGTTTCTAGAAAAAACTCCCTTGTGTTCTTTTTTCGATTTTGGTGTGTTCTTGAACTGATGCATATGCGGTATCATGGGTAATTTATGGAACACTGCTGTCTATCATCAATGTGATCTATCCTCTGAGATAGCAGAACTCAACATATTAGATGAGAGTTAATGTGAACAATTCTTCCTATACTTATTGAGGAAATATATGTGTGCCATGAGTAAAGCTGCATGTGCATCTATCAGTGTTAATGTATTTTTGGTGAATATTCTAGAGTCATTCCTGATACTGATTGAAGCTTCTTGCTTTGATCTGGTTTGGTAAGAAACATCATGCATACCAGGATTTGGTCAATGAAAGTATAACCAGCTTAGATAGAATTTCTGTATTTTGTAATGTCATTGTAGTGCATGTGACCAATGCAATGATTTTAATCCAACTTACCTGACGTGAATGTGGGGAGAGAAGTTTGATTCAGATGAGAAGCCTGCTTGAAATCCCATCCAATTTTACAAAGTCTAAAATTAGATAAAAGGGCTCTTGTGGCGCAGTGATAGTTACTGCTTTTGGGTCAAAATGTCCTGATGCCATTCCCACCAAAGATCTATCCTAACATGTCTGAGCAGCCTTACAAAAAATATCTAAAATCAGATGGAGTATAAAATAGGTGTCTGAACTGAACCTGTCCATAAGACGTACGAGCAGAAGTAGGCCATTCAGTGAGTTCGCGGTTGATCTAATAATCCTTAGCTCCACTTTCCTGTCTTTTCTCCATAACCCTCCATTCCCTTACATTTTAAAAATCTATCTCAGCCTTGAATCTACTTAATTACTCAGCCTCAACAGTCCTTTGTGGTAAAGAGTTCCACAATTTCACTGACCTCTGAGATAAGAAATTCCTCCTAATCTCTGTTTTAAAAGGGAGATCCCTTATCCTGAGATTAGGCTCTCTGGTCTTAACCTCCTCAACAAGGGGAAACAAACTTTCTGCACTTACCCTGTCAAGTCTCCTAAGAATTTTGCATATTTCAATAAAGGTCACCTCTCATTCTTCTAAACTACAATGAGTACAGGCCAAACCCCAACTCATAAAACAGTCCCTCCATACCTGAGATAACAAGGTGTAGAGCTGGATGAACACAGCAGGCCAAGCAGCATCAGAGGAGCAGGAAGGCTGACGTT